TATCTTCTAGTAATAAGGATCAGCAACAGGGACTCTACAGAATAACTGATAGTGTACCGTTAAATGTTTTGGTGTTCTGTAACAAAAACTTTTGTCACTACAAATTACGCTTGTCTTCATTCCTTGTTATCGAATACCAAAGAAATAATTTACGGATATACGAAATAAAAAAAATAGCTATTTTTCTGTCCTATTTGTAAAAAAATATCTAAAATACTTGTAATGTTCAACTTCACACAGGTCTACATTTTTACTCGTATTCATTCACTTATTCCCATAAAAATAATCTGTTATTAGGTCGTTAACCGTGATTGTTGGTACACGAATGTTTGCAAGGTTTTCCGCTGCCAGTATCATTTCACCGCTGCTCATCTGGGGGTTGGACAATGGGTGTTAGCGACTGCAGTTCCATAGAGACATGGTCTCACCCCATCTTAGCAATACTGGCACTTTTTACGGGGGAAGGGAGGAACTGTGGAAAAGAAATCCGTACCCTGATCCCTTCAGAAGCTTAGATCTGTTTGTCTAGTGTGTCTCTGGCTTGGCAAAGACTGGACAAGCCTTAATGTAGGCTAAATCATATGCAGTGCGTTTACGAGAAAGTGAACTTATAGCCTGGAGCACTCAATGTAAAATTCACAATGGACATTCCAACTTTCTATTCGCAGTAAGTGCATTTAAACAGAGAAAGTTTAGCAGATTAGCTAAAAATCCTTCTTCATGTGGCGTTATTGCAACCGAGGCGTATCTCTAACCGAAAGGGAAGTTGTCATGTAAGTTATTTTCTATGGACATTGTCCGTCGCGTTATATGGATCCAACAAGGGTGTATAAATTCAACCCAGAAATTGAATTTTTAAACATTTAATTTCATGTAAAGATTTATTTAATTTAAGGATTGCAGGCATTTAAGTTTGAAGGTTAGCTTGTAGTAGTACATTTCATTATACGCGTAGTTGTGTAATTCATCTCGTTTCATGCTTGTGTCTACTGTTAAAGGACGTGGTACTTCAAAAGAAGTCAGTAGGGGTAAATGCACCACAGAGTGATTAATTATTTTTTATTAATTTATTGGATATTTGGAAGACTCAACTTCAAAGTTTCCTCGAGACCCTTGTAAAGTATTGCAGGAGAAACTCGATATTCCTTTGTAAAGAGATTAACTTTCGTTTGTGTAAACCTGCAGGTTGAAAGTCGGTGTCATGACCTTTCTAGATTGTCACTTTACCCAAGTCGTAATCATCCCGTGTTATATATTGTCTAGGTTGGTCATCGTAATTGTACATACAAATATTACAGTAGATATGTTTTTCACTTCCAACATGAAATAGTGTTTGCATGCCTCACCTCTGTTATAATGTGTTAAAGAGTGATAAAACGAACGACCTTACCTTGCCTAAAGCGATCGGTATGGCCTTGGCACTTACTTTGAAACGAGTATTATGCATTTATATCATGGTTAAATCTAATTATAGGTTTTGTATATCTAACCTAACAGTATTAATCTTATGATGTCCTTTGCACAGATTCCTCCTTCCTGGTATTGGTACTTCCCGCTTCTTGGGTGTCGCTTTCGGCCTTGTTCTTTAAAGGAAGAAAAAATTACTCGTGTTTCTCAATCTTTATGGTACCACGTTCCCCTCCTCCCTAACATTATCCATACTTTTGATGAAATAGAACATGGAATAACTCAAATATAGATAGAAAATGTAGCTTTTTTCGTCATGTTTTCTGCTCTGTTGTGGAAGTAAAACGTAATAAAAATCTTGCATTTTCAACTCTTCCAATGAAACTTTTTTGATCTGGTTTACTATCTTTTTGGTCTTTGTTCATCGTATGGTATTCTGGTCCAGTGACCGTGGTTACCTCTTTCTTCGGACACATCAGAGTAGGTGGCCCCTTTCCTACACCTGTGGACGAAGACTGGTCCGGTCTTCGAAGCGTGTGTTCTTAGAATATCAGGCGATCGGCAAGTCGAAAATATCTGTAGTCCAGATTGTAATACGCCATTGTCAGAACCCTTTCGAATCGATTTAGAAGTTCTTGATGAATATTCTTGAAGGTAATCTATGTGAAATTTGGTTGGTCTGATGTAGATATCTGTATATGTCTTCAAATTTTATGAGACCTATTTTATGTCGATAAGAACGAGCAGGACGACCGCACGACGTTATAAATGTCCTGCCGTTAACCTTCTGGACAGTGAAAGTGAGCGCTTGGCTCAAGATGTTGAGGTTGTGTTGACCCACGTAGATCTAGCTGTGCTTCCATCGAAACATAACGCAGCTGCCCTGACGATTAGTTAGTTCTTGCTTCTTCATGGTTTGCTGATTCAGTTCCGAGAGACCTGCTACCCAAACTATATTGAGGCTTTCATTAGTTTACTCTTGGACAGCAGCTTACAAGTTACTCAGCCATCATACTTCCGTTTGTCTTCATCATCCTAGCCAGTTATCAACATTAATGTTAACGGTGGACACAGATGAGGAGGATTTTAACTCAGAAAATTTAATTTATGTGAATGTGTACAACGTGTAATTTGACCTACAGAGTAAATTATGGCGGAATTTTAAACTTTGTACGGACGTAGGGCTGCTTCCTAAAGTTCCAGATGAAAGTTGTGTATATTAGTCTTGTAAGAGTTTATTTTATATTGAATAACTTTTAAAATAAATGCACTTTGAATAGCTCTTATCAGGTCCTGAGACGACGAAATAAAAAATTATTCCTCGCCTCAGATGTCTACATATTTTATCTGTATAATATTTAAAATAGTGTTTTAAATATTATATTTGTATTTTAATTTTATTCGTGGTGTGACGAATAAAACATATCATCCACAATTCCGATATACCTAATCAGATAAGTTTTGCTTGTGTCAGAAGTAAATGGGATTAGTCGTTAGTTTCCAAATATTGTTTTGTGAAATGAATACTTTAGAAATGTGATAATTCAGTTAACCGTGTGTAGGTTAGCCAAAATTTTGTTTATTCGGTATGAATGAGTTGGATGAGTTTATATTTTCTTGTGAGAGATTCTTCCGAGCTATTGGATAGTTTTTGTTGGGTTTTCTCAATCCTGTCTTGGAACTTACAAAAGAATCTGCTTACCTACTATATAATTGTTATGGACCATAGCCTCTTTCAGACTTTATCACGCTATCTGAACACGGTACAATGCGCCTTGAAGGATAAAAATAATAGGCCTGATTAACATAATTATTTTGCACAGTAAAAGGGGATTTTCCAGTATTTGTACTTGTTATATTTTATTAAGACATATTAAGATATTTGCTTTGCAATTTACGATACCGTGACAGCACTTCCTTTGTTGGATTTTTTGAAAGGAATATTCCCAGAAATGCTTTTCATTCCACACGCTCCTGCAGTATTAGGTATTCCATATGCAAGTTGTACGTTTATAGACATCCCTCTTAACATGTATTGTACGATTACAACCTCGTGATTTGTTATTCCGAATAGGTAATTCCTAAGTTTGGACTGGGCTATGTTTAATTGCGTTTCCAAATACAGTATATTCCCGATTATCTGACATTCAGAAGCAAATTCTCAGCACTAATTTCTTCAAATGGACTCTCTCATTTTGTTTGTGAGACTCTTTTTCATTCGGTGCCGTATTGTATTTTCATCGTAATTTAATAATATCGTAGATTGAGTTATAAATTGTTTATATTTACCTTCGTCTTTTTCATTAGTCTTCAGTATTATCCTTCATAATTTTTAAAGATTAGAAGGCAAATAGCGAGTTTGTGGTTTGGGTATTACGTAATTCTCATATAGCAGATTTCTGAACTATATATTGACTGACTGACAGCTTTCTAGAAGTCTGTGCCTTTGCTTTACAATGTGTACATTAATACTTTCTAGACAACACAACAATCCTTATGCATAGTATAGATTTATCAAATAGGCATGTATTCTGGAGAAATGACGTCCGAATAGTTATAAAGTCGGTCGCGACCAAGAAAAATCGAACAGCTTTTGAAAAATTCATAGGTTATGCATGATATCTGGGAGTGATTGAAGCTGTTTCTCCTGAGTTCAGGAGCAGTGAGTGGGCAGGCGCTGATTGATTATTCTCGATCTTAAACCGTACATGAGTCATGGTTTATTTAACGACGCTTTTTCAATTGCTTAAGTTGTACGATAGCGTCTAGTGTTGAAAGTTAATGTGATTGTGAATGATGAATTCGAAACGATGTGGAAGGCCGTGATCTGACGTATTTTAAGTAACGGGTCTAGAAGTTGTCTGGAAGGGTTGAGAGAAAACATCAAACCTCTCAGGATAACCAAGGTTCGAATTGCTCATATACAAAGCAGGAGAGCTAATAATTACGCCTCGACGTTTGGTGTTCCTACATCCTACCCGTAGTCCTACACCATTGTGAGGAAACATCTTCGAGCATGTCAGAATCACTAGGAAATTTTGTTCCATAAGATATGACTTGGAAGACGTGTAGTACAATTTATATTTACTAGAGCAGAACGCTCCTTTCGGAGCGCCTCGCGGGGGTTGGCCAATTTTTAAAACGCAACCAACCTTGTGTAAGAAACTAAACTAACCCCTCGAATGGAGGGTTAAAAACAATTGACCAACCCCCCCCCCCGGGG